GGTACCTTTAGGTCCCCAAGTCCTATATTCTAGAGGTACCTTTAGGTCCTCAAGTCCTATATTCTAGAGGTACCCTTACGACCTCAAGTTCTGTATTCGAGAGGTAGCTTTAGGTCCTCAAGTTCTGTGTAATGAAGGCATCCTTAGGTCCGCAAATGCTATATTCCAGAGATACCTTTAGGTGCTCAAGTCCTATATAATCGAGCCAGCCTTAGGTCCTGAAGTCCTGTATTCTAGAGGTACGCTTGGATGCTCAAGTGCTATATTTCAGTGGTACCCTTACGACCTCAACCCTGTATTTCAGAGGCATCTTTAGGTCCTGAAGTCTTATATTTCAGAGGTACCCTTAGGACCACAAGTCTTCTATTTTAGAGATACCTTTAGGTCCTGAAGTTCTGTATTCCAGAGGTACCCTTCAGCCCTTAAGTCCTATATTCTAGGGGTACTCTCGAGTTCTCAAATCTTATATTGCAGAGGTACCTTTCGGCCCTCAAGTTCTATATAGTAGCGGCATCCTTAAGTCCTCAAATCCTGTATTCTAGAGGTACGCTTGGATCCCCAAGTCCTATATTTGAGAGGTGCCCTTACGACCTCAAGTTCTATATGCCAGAGGTTCCTTTGGATCGTTAAGTCGTATATTCTAGATGCACAGTTAGGTTTTCAAGTCCTATGTTCTAGAGATACCCTTGGCTCCGCATCTCCAATATTCTAGAGGCACTCTTAGGTCTTCACACTCGATACGAGGAAAGTATCCTTGAGTCCTCATCTCTTATAGTTCACTGGTACACGTATCTCTTCATGTCCTACTTAGCGGAATTTTTCTCACGTCCTTGGTATGGGTCATATGAAGTGAGCGAACGTTCGCGTGAGCCAAGCAGAAGTCCAGAATCCATGTTTTACCAAATCTCAATAGGATGAAAATTTGCCTGTAATTTGTTCTTCTATGTTACAGAAACAGCAAAGCATGTTGTGCAAACTTCGGCGATTCCTCCATTATTTACCGCATGATTTTCTCTAGGATTTCGAATAATTGTTTCCGAAAAATTGTAACGAATATCTGAATAATCTTTTTGACGGATCTTATGGAATATTGAAAGATGGTTTTGAGGCATTTCAAGGAAAATTTAATGGAGGTTTTTGAAAGATTTTGAAGGAATATCCAAGGAAGGTTTTTGAAGGATCTTAAGGAACATCCAAAGATGGTTTTTGCAGGATTTTATTGGGAATTTCTTCTAGGCTTTCGAAATTATTGAGATAAATTACTCAGGTTAACGCGAAAAACTGCATCGATTCTCGCCTGTAGCAATTTAATGGTTATGCGAGTATGATGCGTGCAGTTTTATAGTAATATCTAACCAACGTAATGAATATTTTGAAAGGCATGTTTACCCACTGATTAGAAGTGTTTGCTCCTTACAGTCGTAGATTTCTTAAAATGGTTTTAATTTCAGGCACTCGAACTACTTTAATTGCACAATAGGTTGGCAATGCATGACTTTCGGAGCGAAGAAAAATGAAGATAATCACGGCTCTTCAAAGAAAGTTTGCATAGAGATTCCATCTGCCTGCAAAGATAGGAAACTTCTTATAGTTAACAAATCGAACGAGAGATAGGCCTTGTCTCCACCAGAAAATTTAATACCGAATTAAGAAACTTGATTCGTGGAAAATTTAATTCGCATTGAATGCATTTTCGAAAGCGTTTTAGGCCCCGAACAGACCGATTAATTCAAAGTGAATTAAAACGGAATTAAGAGATATGATTGGTGTTTCTACATAGCAACATCAATCATATCTCTTAATTCCGTTTTAATTCACTTTGATTTTGGCCGGTCTGTTCGGGGCCTTAAATTTAATGCGCTTTCGAAAGCGAACTAAAGTTAATGCACCAATCAAAGTCTCATTAGGTTCATGTGCTCCAATTGAATTAATGAAAGCGACATTTTTTTCTCGATTCTGATTGATGCATTAACTTTCCAAGTGTAGGCAAGCATGATTTTAATACGAAGTTAATACCGTATTATTTTTCTAGTGGAGACAAGGCCATACAACATTAAAAGAAAATTATAACAAAAACTGTGACATGGATCCTATTCGCTAAACAGTGAAACAATCACAAACAAAATCAAAGAAAGTAAATATCGTTTGACAGATAACGACATCTTGAGATTTTCGAAAGTGGAAATGGGCGCAATTTTTTCATTCGTTCCTAGTTGATACCACATTCTTTCGCACTTTCTTCTGCGCACTACTTCAAAATCTTCCTCTCCACGATTCTCTAGATACCGTTTACTTCAAAAAGGTTTTCATCCTCGTCAATGGCATCCCATGTAAGATGAGTTAACCGTACAACTAACACACACTTTTTTTGATCATAGACACCTGCATCGGATGCGTTAGTAACTCGTTCACCACTTTCTTCAATCCAGAATGAAGCAACAGAAACTGGTAAACAAAATACGTTTGAGCCTACTTTTCATTGCGACTAAATACCAATTCATAATTTTCTAGGTGATAATATTACACTTTCTTCTTCGCTCAACAAAAAAAATATATTACAAAAAAGTAAACTTTAATATATCAACATCTTTCTTTGCATTTAAAGTTTCTAGGATTAACTTCTTCATCTTCTTCTGTTAACAATGATCGAACACCTGTTCGTAAACATAAATCACGTGATATTGATGAAGAATTAGATCGAAAGTGTTTTTTTTTCTTATGAAAATTTCCTAATAATTTGTTTACATTTATAGAATTAAGTTCTTCATCTTCTTCTATTAACAATGATCGAACATCAATTCGTAAACATAAATCACGTGATATTGATGAAGAATTAGATGGAAAGTGTTTTTTTTTATTATCAAAATTTCCTAATATTCAATTACATTTATAGAATTAAATTCTTCATCTTCTTCTATTAACAATGATCCAACATCAATTCGTAAACATAAATCACGTGATATTGATGAAGAATTAGATGGAAAGTGTTTTTTTTTATTATGAAAATTTCCTAATAATTTATTTACATTTATAGAATTAAGTTCTTCATCCTCTTCTATTAACAATGATCCAACATCAATTCGTAAACATAAATCACGTCATATTGATGAAGAATTAGATGGAAAGTGTTTTTTTTATTATGAAAATTTCCTAATAATTTATTTACATTTATAGAATTAAATTCTTCATCCTCTTCTATTAACAATGATCGAACATCAATTCGTAAACATAAATCACATGATA